TGATGATGATGATGATGATGATGATGATGATGATGATGATGATGATGATGATGATGATGATGATGATGATGATGTGGGATAATTTTATAATCTACTTCTCGTGAAGTATTGGCGTTCCATTCACTATATGCAAATCTTTAAACCTAACGGATAATGGGTTTGGAAAGAATATGACTTCATCAAAATGGCAGAGCGAGTTATAAGCAAAATATAAACACTTGGAAACATTGGGACCAAATAGGTTATTTGGAAATGAAGTGATCATGCGCTATTAGGATTGGGCATTGGCCTAATGACTGTTTCCTCCGGCACTCAAGTATCTGGTTGGTTCGATGATCGTCCAATCAGATTAGCCTTAGGTGATCATGTGGTGCGAAGACCCATTGTATCAGCTCAGATGCGTCCATGAATCAATCGAACGTTTCATTATAACCCGTAGACGGTAAGCTACCTGGTTGCTTCAACTTCTAACCCTATTCACGTTTTTGTCAGATTAATACACATTACTAAAACCTGCTCTAAATGAGCGATGGAAATGTTTGCGATGACCGACAAATAGCACTGGAAGGTTGCTTCGTCCTACCTCGGACTCATCAGCATACGTACGTGCGTACGTTTTGTATCTCTGTCAGGGCTCGAACTGCAGAAACTCGGGTTGGGGCTTCAAACCCTGACTCCTGAGCTCCGCGGTCGACGGGTATCACCTTAGGCGGATGCTTTAAACAATCTACAGCATCTTTAGTTTAGTCCATTCGATTGTCAGTGATCACAAATATTTCCAGCACCTCTAAATGCATTCAACTGGTGGGGAATTTACGACCTCTCAAAGAGTAAAACCCACACCCAAGATAATCAACAGTGCTCGGTGTCTGTGAACAATTAAATGGACTAATCCAAATATGATACAATAAATATTCCTCAGCCATTCAAAATAATGATGGTTTTTGATCTAGGGGACTCACTCACAGTACTCACGGAAAGGTACGCGCCATAAAACCAACCGCTTCTGTTCGACAGACAGACTTGCAAGCGACAGACGAGTTAAAATAATGTGTGAAGGGGATAGCACTCACTTTGTAATTTAAAAGATCCTGTAATATTGCATCTAGTCTGCGAATAGGTGCAATCAGAGTCCCGATGGCCTGATAATCGCGCGATCGTGTCGCACGAGGTGCGCCTAGCTCGGCACCATCTAATGAAGAAGCTCGAGTACCAGTGCGACTAGAGGAAGATCCACGCGGGGTATGTCTTTTCCGTTCCTGACGATCATCACCGAACTCGATGGCACTGGGGGCTGGGGATTTGGCGGCTCGTGATGGTACTGAACGGCGGCCTAGACATTACGCATGAAAAAAGAGATCACTTACAATGGTATGAGGTAGATAATTTGGTTCAGAAGGAGGCCATAGTTACAAAGTTCAGAGCGCATTAACAAGGTCACTAGCAGTAAGTTCTAAGTTGTAAGATTTGCGGAATTGGAGAGATGGTCACTCACCAAATAGTCTGACTGAAAAATGCGTTTTCACTATAGGTAGAACGACGACTGTGTCTAAGGGGATATCCGCTAGGACTTAAAACTGATCAATTCTTGTTTTTAACTGCCATTCGACAAAATTTCCCGACTCCAGGTTTAGCACGCTTCCTTCATATTTCGATGAAACCCATTAAACAGTTCACCTAATATGAACTAATAGGTCCTTTTCCAGTACAGAAGACGCCGTAGGCTGAGCTTCTACAAACCAAAAAGAATAATGGTTACCCGCCAATCGCGTTACCGTATTATTGGCAAACAACAAACATTTAAACAAACTTCCAGGTTATTTCGGTTTCAGTACAAGTGCAATGGATTCAGAATGCGTTTTCACTTCTGTTGTTTTTATATTGGCTTCGGTACCATTGAATATACCTAAATAAAAGCATTCGAATGACATCGCTATACTATTTCTACTTTATTCCACCCGTGAGTTGTAAGGGTGAGTGTCCACATAGATATTTAGACATTCTGTGCAAGTATTACTTCTCGTCATTTCATCGTTTAATCCCATCGCACACACGGAAGTCTCACCAGTGTGCGTCTGTGCTAAACCTCTGCAACTGTTTTTAGTCACCACAAGGGTTATAAGAATCACGTTTCACGCCTGTCTGATCAGACAGGAATCAAAAGTCTCCTAACCTCAATTAACGAACAAGCAAATAAAGAGTTCTGTCTGAGCACAACAAGATGAGCTATGTTATCTGGATAACGTTGAGTGAACAATGGCATTCCATATCATTTGGAGAAAATTGAGTGATAAATAAGGAAAGGGAATTATAAAAAGTGAAGTAAATATCTGGGTCTGCATCGGGTTTCGTTGTTCTCTTTTGGCTAAATATTTGGAAGCGAAATTCTGAGAGGCATTGCCAACAGGCAAACACACCGAATGTAGTTAAAGTAAAGTGGAACAAAACCGTAATAGATAGAAAAAAAGTAACTTTACGAGAATTGAACATACCGAACAACCTTTCCGATCACAGATCAGACTGATAACGAGAACCTAAACTGGGGAGCCTGTGAAGACCGAAATGATCAAGTCCCCGCATCCAGCTCTTTTGAAACACATACGAGGTCCTAGTAGAAGCAAAACTGTCTACACAACGGATTAAAACATATCAAACCGATTCCAAAAGGCAAACTACTCCGACAGGCTAGAATAATTCAATCAGGGGTATTCTCTGGGCTACGTGTATTTGATTTCTCCATGCGATGAGGATAGGAGATAGCGCACTCATTGCGGTAGTTGCTATCGTCAACTTCCAGCAAATATATCTTCCTCACGTCCCGAACCAGTCTTCCATTAGATGCTTTTACACTAATCGTGAGTCTCGGATAATTTGAACTGACCAAGGTCTCTCCGACCTTGGGAGTGACGATTCTCAGTGCAGACTGTCACCTACCCTCAGTTTCTTCGACAATATCCATCGTTGCAAAACTTAGATGTCTTCCACCGGTTGTAACGGAATCAGCGTACACAGGCCTATAGTGTTGCAAAAACTTCGGGAGGAGTCTCAGTCCTATAAGGAGTACTGACCGAATTCGGATCAGCTCTATAGTGCAACCGAACCGTTCTATGTAAGCAAGGACGGATTGGAAAGGGCACCGGCAAGGTTGGATATGTTTGTTCTCCTATCAAAATGTTCGCTAATTCATCGGGCTAATCGCAATGATCATTCACAATCTCACATACTAAGACATTTCCACGTTTCTTTGGTATCATTACACTTTCTGATGGCCTAATTGGCGTTTTGTTTCTTCCCTGTTAACTGT